CATTTTGCCGTTCCCAGGAGGCGGGCCTTCTCTGCTGTGGCGCCCGTCTTGTGGAATCTTCTCCCCCCAGAAGTGAGATTAGCTCCATCCCTCTTAATGTTCCGCAAATTCCTCAAGACCTGGCTATGTGATCAGGCCTGGGGCTCCCAGGGGACCAGGGAAATTTTACGATGGCTCCCTTATTAATTTTATCCCCTATTTTGTGTGTTTTTACAGTTTTTTATGTGTAATTGTTCTTTTTTTTTTTTTAATTGTATATCACCTTGTGTGAGATGGGCAGCTATATAAATATGGTAAATAAATAAATAATGAGATTTTAGAAACTCACCTGTCACACCTTTTCTTAGCTCGAAATAAATAAACTAATTGCAAAACATAAAAATGATATTGGTTGGTTACATTATAGCTAAAATAATTTTTAAAAATGTGATCCAGGTATTGAACTACACTCTTGATTAACTTGCACTCCAACTATAAAACAAGAGCACTGTTTTCTTTGCAAAGAACTGAAAACAATAGATTTGGGTTTGGATCCAGCTCGCCTGTCCATAAAAGGCTTTGCTGAATCAAATGATTACCTCAGTGAGAGTAGGACACAATTGTTGCTGATTAAATAACTCCAGATAAATAATAAAAACACAATAATAATAAATTAAATTTATATACTGCCTGACTCCCAGTGACTCTGAGCAGTTTACAATTGTGAAAACATTTAAAAGCATAAAACAATAGGGGGGGAAACACAAAACAGCACAAAACACAAGAACAATGATGGCAAAGAAAATAAACCAAGAAGAGAACAGAAAGGAAAAAAGAGGCATCAGTCATCTTCAAAGGCCCAGGTGAAGAGCAAGGTCTTTAAGGCCCTTTGAAACATCAGCAGGGTGGGAGCCATTCAAATCTCGGGAGGAACCTCAATCCAGGTGCTACTATAGAGAAGGTGCGCTTCCAGGGCCCCAATAGGTATCTTTGTTAAATCAATGGAATCCAGAGCATGTCAACCCTGCCAGGTTGAACCAGTCGGGCAGATACTATGAGACAGGCGGTCCCTCAAGTAACCATCCCCTATGCCATGTAGGGCTTTATAGGTAGTGACCAGCATCTTGAATTGCACCTGGAAGCAAACTGGCAACCAGTGCAGCTTGCAAAGCAGAGGTGTTACATGGGCATACGAGGCCTGCCCATCACTGCCTGCACCGCTGCATTCTGGACCACATGCAACTTCTGGGTGGTTTTCAGGGGCAGCCCCATGTAAAGTGCATTGCAGTAGTCAAGCTGTGAGGTGCCCAGGACATGAGTGACTGTCTGAAAGGCCCCCCAATCTAGGAAAGGGTGCAACTGGTGCACCAGATAAAACTGGGCAAAATCTTCCTGGCTACAGCTGCCACCTGTTCATTGAACAACAGCTGTGAGTCCAGGAAGACCCCCAAATTTTGCACCTTCCTTGAATGGGGAAGTGCAACCCCATCCAAGATCAGAGTTG